TTCAGACAGCAGTAACGCTTCCAAGGGTGGCTGTCACCGTAAGGCCGATCTGTGGATAACATCGCCATCAATGACGGTGCTACCCGCACATTTTTTTTGGAGGACGAAAAATGCAGGACTTGTTTGCGACGTCTGTAAAGTAGCGAAATTTTATAATGGAGCGCTGGAAACTATGCCAACATGTAGGAAAACATTCCTACTTTCACATGAATGCAAAAGAGCTTCGTTTTTACTACGCATATCAGCTCGGTGAGCAGAAATGCTTAAGGTGGCGGTGCTCCCCCCGCTTCCCCTAATTAGCTGCATTGTTCAACGCTCGCCAGTAGCACGATCAGCGCGATCAAAATCGTGATTAGCCAGCTGAATGCGAAATCAAGATCATGATTAGCCAGCTGGCTGCGTAATCAAGAAGTTGATCATCGGACTCCCGGGACGACGCCTCGTAATCAAGTTGTTGATTACGTTTTGGTTGCAATCTACCGCCTCACGATTTTCAACTTGAATCATTCAAAGATTACACTTGTAGAGTGACTTCTTCTCTATCGGTCTTAAAATTTTCGTGCATCCCCGTAGACCCTGAATCGAGATTCGGCCGTTTTCGTGACGGGCTGCAAACATGACCAAATATGGGCATAAAATAATCATGAACTTGATTAATCAAGTTCTTGATTACCTCCCCGTAGTTTGCCCAACTGAATTTGGGCAATAAAGCATGACAGGACGACGAGGTGCCTCGGTCGGTCACGCTTGGGCGATGTGCTTCACTTCATCTTACTGCCAGCCTAGTGACACCGAAACCAGACGGGCCTATCCGGGCAGCACGAAAGTGGCATCGAATTGCCACCCGTCCTGACTCAGCTACCCGACAGCAGACCACTTCGGACACACCCGGGCGGCCACCGCGCCGAGCGCTATCGAGGGAGGTGACCGCACAGCTGTCCACGAAAGGTCACCGTGGGAGTGAGAACCACTCGAGTGCCCAGAGCGGTCGGACGCGCTATCTCAGCCGCCCCCGTTATATAATATTTAATTCCATATCGGCCAACATATAGTAAATACAGGGTGGGCCAAAATGAAGTACCTTCAGTTTTCTTTCGATAACATGTATATTTACAATGGTACAATGGTAAACCAGGTATATTTCGAATTACAATGAAATGGCAAAACTCACTGCGCACTATTGTCCGCATCTGTCAGCCGCTCACACCTCACAGGATGTGCTCCAGGTGGGCACCGCGGCGCTGCTTCACCAACGGCAGACGAACTTCCTTGAGATGGATGATGGCCTTGTCGACCATGTCAGCGGGGATACGGTCCACCTCCTGGACTATGGCGGTCTTGAGCTCGTGAGTGGTTGCCGGTCTTCCCGCATATACCCGGTCCTTAAGATATCCCCACATGAAAAAGTCCAGGGGACTCAGGTCAGGAGAGTGAGGGGCCCATGGAACGGCCGACTTCAGGCTGATGTGTCGATCCGGGAAGTGACTTCGAACCCAATCCATCGATGCGCAAGCAGTGTGGGGTGTGGTACCATCCTGCTGGAACCACTCTTGGTTACGCCTGAGTGGCCTCTCCCCGAGTTCTCTCCAGAACGGCTCCAGCGCTGTGCTGACATAGCGAGCAGAGTTGATCGTTGTCGCCACTTCGTTTTCATTTTCAAAGAAGAAGGGACCGATACCTAGTTCCCCCGCCGTGCCGCATCGCCAACCACGCCGTAACCTTCTCGCAGTGAAGAGGCCTGCAGAGGACCTCATCTGGTGGTTCCTTGCCCCAGTGCACAGCATTGTGGGTGTTGACATATCCGTTCAGCCAGAAGTGAGCCTCGTCACTGAACCACAGCTTGCTGAACACACGTGGGTTGTGTTCCAACCACTCGGCCATGGCGACCCGACGCTCCCTGTCGCATGATGATAGCTTCTGATGTATTGAAAGCCGGTACGGGTACAGTCCAAGATCTTCTTTCATGATTCTCCGCAGAGTTGTCCTGCTGATATTCAGTGCCTGAGAGCGACGCCGAGTGGATCTTTTTGGGCTCTGAAGGGTAGAGGCGGATACCCGTTGAATGTTGGCCTCAGATCTGACCGTGCGACCTCTCCCGGGCGGCTTGGTTTTTACCACCGTTCCGAAATTTCGAAACTTAGCTACCCACTTCTGGATAGACTTGTTCCCCGGTGCAAGGTCGAGCCTCCGATGGTCCAGACCGAACTTCTTTAGATACTGCCGCCTGGTCTCATCAAGAGAGTTCGTCAAGACATAAGTCTCAAGTCTCAACGCAAAACGATTTTTGTGTGTCGGACCACATTTTTCAAGTGAAGTTTTCTGATAATCTATCTTGCCATATGGTTTGCAGTCGGCATGCGAAAAATCACAAATGCAGCACGTGCGCTTGAAAAGCACGAGACAAAAATTTCAAGGTACTTTATTTCGGCCCACCCTGTACCTTTTTGGGAAGTTTGCACCGTCGACTAAAACTAAGATGGTGATTAGTGTCGCGAAAAGGGGGGGGGGCATCAGCACCCAGCAGCTGTCCAAATAACAACGGATGAAACACGCTCGCTCCAAAACTACATAACTACGACATCTCATTGCTCTCCAGCCAGCCTCTCTAAGAAAATAATCAAACATGCGAAACAGAGTTCGCTTCAGCAGCATAACTGTACACTGCTGAGCCCGAACATTGCGCAAGCACTATCACGCACAGAATGCACAAAACACCACATACCACCTTACGCCACCCCACCCCCTGTTTCATTGCCGTTCCAGCCAGGGGCGCGGGAACTACTTTCAGACTGGGGGGGAGGGGGCACACCATAATAGAGATCAACCTAGGGTACCCCCAAATCTAGTTTTCTCATCGGTTTAGGCCACTTATTTTTCATCCCTTTGCTTTTTCACAATTAAAGGGCAAAAAAAGTGCGGAATTCCGTCTCAAAGTTGTGGGGCCCGGTTCCCGCGCCTATGGTTCCAGCTTCCATCTCTGCCCTCCCGGCGCCACCCCGACTCGCACGGTGCCCGGTCAGCGGGACCGTCCGTCCACGCGCGCCGGCCGCTGAGTCATCCCAGTCGGGCTGGGACCGCGGGGGCGGCGCTGGACCGACGCCCGGCGACTGTGGCGACTGACGCCACTGGACCCCGGACCCCGGACCGCCGACACTGCCGCGGTGCGTGGACAGACGGCTAGGCAGAGTGCGCCGACTATGGGCCGATACTTGCCAGCCACGGTGAGAAGGACTTCGCTCGCCGCCCGGATCCCAATGTGTCCGTTACCCAACTGATATGAGCCATCGAGGTCACGATCGCAGAACCAACTTCTCCGAATCCTATCTCAACAGAAAAAAAACAAACAAAACGAAAGAAAATATCGCCAGCTACAATGAGGTGCGCTTTTACACTGGCTCACCCAGATTCTAATCTCATGAAGTGCCGTACTTTTCCTATTTACGGAATCGGGCATTTGATAACGTGTAGAAAAAAATATACAGGAAGTGTACCTGCACTTCAGTCTGTGCTGTCATATTCTATTTACAGTCGGTAAGATTGTGTTCAGGTGTCTCGTTCCCACTCGCTCGCCAGTCGGACTTCGGCCTTCGATCGCAGTTGCCCTCCCCCTCCCCTACCTCCCCCTGTCGCCAACGCCTAGCGACTTCCTCCCCAACGCCCCTTCACGAGCCCGCAACGTGTCTGCCGGGCGCCTTAGATTCCATTGAGGAAAACTTCCATTGAGGCCACGCCTGTTCCGCCGCATGGGCAAACTTCTCTGCCTTTTGGCAAACGGTGCGCCACTTACCCACTAGTAAGGGACTCTACGGTTACCTCGAACCCAACCGTTCACACCGCACAGGAGGCGGCCCACCGAACATGAAACAAAGCCCAATGTGGGTCAGTGTCCCAAAATTTGCCAGTTTGGGTGGGAAGGGACATCCAAATCAAAATAATTTTCCACTCCCACATCCAATTTTTCAGATTTTTTTTCACTCCCTATTCTACCAATAAAGAGCATCTGCACGTAACTTTTACCTACCTATACTTTTACCTAATAATCTTATAGGTAAAGCAGCTCCCACATCCTCCAAAATTCGCAAATAAAATTGTTCAGCTCTGTCATCCGCTCTTGTGCTTCTCTGACTGGCAATTTTCCACTCTCATTCCTCTTTGTAGTGACGAATATTCCCCTCTGACACCCAAGCCAAAATATAATTTTTGGACACTGATGTGGGTGCGGTACTGGCCTACCCACAGTATGGGACCCAGTCGGGTGACGGTCGTGGAACGAGCAAGGAGGCGTCAGACCGAAAAATAAATACCCAATAATATCGTACGTCAAATGTCAATAATGCAAAACTATGTTATGAGACACATCTTTTCATGACGTCGCACGACCATAATTGTCGTGACGACATGTTACTGTATGAGAAAAAGTCACGTTCAAGAATAAAACATGGACAATCATTCTAATATATATAGGCATAACAAATCAATGCAGGCCATAAGAAATTCAAATAAATAAACACTGTCTGAGATTGAGATAGCAATAACTGGCATTAAGGATTCGGGTAGTTGCAGTCTGCAGATGCTAAGAAACAATCAATAAGCCCCAACAGGTAACGAGCTCGACCCCAGTCTTCTCAAACTCTACTCAAATCGCAGTCTATCCGTTTCTCTCGCTGTTGTGGAGGGTTACTGTCTACTGACGTCCACACTATCGTCGTAGTGTGTTACACACGTCCACAATGCCGTCGGGGAGGGTTACTCACGTCCACACTATCGTAGTATGGTTACGTCCATAATATAGTCACAGTGGGTTACTCACGTGCGTAATGCCACGGTGGGTTACTCAGCACTCACGTCCATACTATCGTCGTGGTAAGTTACTGAAGCACACACTATCATAGTCGAGGTGGGTTACTCACTTTCATTATGTCGTGGAGGGTTACCTACGTCTATACTATCGTCGTCGTGTATTACTCACGTCCATTACATCGCCGTGGTGTGTTACTCACGTCCATAATGTCGTCGATCTCTTTGATGACTTCGTCGGCGGTCTTGAGCCGGTCGGGCGGCTCTGCCTGCACGCCGGCCAGGATCAGCGAGTGGATGTCCAGGTCGCTGGCCACAGCCTCGTCCTCCTCTGACAGCGCGCCGTCGTCGGCCGGCGCCGCCTGACGGCACACGGCACAGTCAGCGGCGTCCAGCGGCTGCTGGTGGGACAGCTCAGTACCATTGTCTGGTGGTGAGGACTTAAGATGTTTAGAAAAATGTGCTTATCTGGCAATTGATATCTGGCAACTTGAGTTGCTGTAAAAATAAAAAACGCATCCTCATTACTCAATAAATGCTACAATGCTAGAGCTGAAGCAAAATTTAAGCTTTACCTGTTTGTCATTCAAATTCAGAGCTGGCATGTGAAACTTCCTTGCATGAGACTTAGCCCAGTCAATGGGCAAGATGTTTCCGAAGTTCCCTGTGATTGTCCACCACATCCTGGGAAACATAAAAGAGAGGTATCAGATTATGACTTACTGGCAAGTGACAGCAATAGGACAAAGTAGCTGTTGTGGGTGAAAATAAATAACTCCTTTATGCTTTGAAGTACAGAACAAGCGGAAACATAAATGGGAGCAAAACTTACGTACCTATGTGATACAAATGCAAAACAGAAACACAGGTACAAAATTACAAACTTACAGAGTAATATCAAAAGGTAAGGGCAAATGTCTCTGTTTCAGGTTGTAGTTCACAGCAGTGCATATAAAACCCTGGATAAAGATGTCATGAAGTCAGATGTCAAGATACCACATAAGCCTTGAAGTAGGTATGTTTATTGTTTAGTGCTATGACCTGTGAGCTGTGACTGTTCTAAGCTCATCAAAGCTCATCCTGAGTCTATGCTACCTCAAACATTGCCTAACAATTTTCCAAAAGAAATTGTGGTCTCCTGGAGTAAATAAAAGTGAATAACTTCAAAAGCCCTCTTGCATAAAACCACTGCCCATCATTTCAGCACCCATGTAGTGTGCAAACAGGATGTTTAATACAATAAATGTTACTGTGGTAAGCTACACAGCTTTCTTCCAACTTCCTCTTAGTTCACTGTCTTGCTTTATGGGAGCAATTCCTATGAAAGTGACCCAGTTTAGACTGCAATACCTAATAACAAATGACTGGCATCAAAAGGAGAACATGCACAGAAAACCTGATGCTGATTTACATTTTTCATATCAAGTACATTTTCAGTTTTGAGCAAGGTGTAAAAAGAGACATAATTAAAGGATTCATGTTGATTTCTGCAAGGAAAGAGATTAGAAGAATAGACACAATGCAACTGCCAGTGCCACAATTATTGAGGCAGCATCCATTTAATTGCCATTTTTCTTGCACATTTTCATCAACAGCATAAATAACCTGCAAGGTAACCAAGCTGAATTTTGATAATGATAATGTCCTCCCATTATTTGGTCAATGGCTTAAACATCAGTAATAGGCAAAGTTGTTTGCTTTATGATGCTTCTGAGTTCTGCTATAATATCAATGAGAAAGTCAAATGGCTACTCAGAAATAGTTGCGGCCACTAAAAAAAAAGATAAATCACAAATTGAGAAAAACAATGATTTTAGGACAAATACAATTTAATTATTACTCAACTAAAATGGTAGTAGTAAAGCAGGTGCCACACTTGTTTAATTGCAACCAAGGAGAGACGTGCTGTAGGTTAGGTTGTAGGTTTTAGGCGGTAGGTTCAAGGTTGTGTGTTTTGGGTTGTAGGTTATGGGTAAGGTTAGGTTAGGTTTCGTTTGGTTTGAATAGAAAGCATCTCTAGACAGTGCCTTTTCTTGTTTGCAAAAAACAAGCATGAAGCCTGCTTTACGACAACCACTAAATCTGCGGCAAGCTGAAACACTGAAACATTGGTAAAAACTTATATACTCACTGGCAGTCATTCATTATTTCCTCTTGACTTCGAACCTGTACTGGTGCCATTTCTTCGACATTTTCTTCAAAATTGCTGAAACACTTTGTTATTTTCTCATCAAAACTGTTCACAAGGTCCTCAAGGGAACCGGAAAATGTCTCATTGAAGTTCTCCGAAAATCCTTCCACTGCATTGTCGTTCGGCACTTCCCTGGGTTTCGACGGTTTCACATTGGAATTTTCTACATCTTGTGAGCTCTGAAAATCACTAAATTCACCAAAATCTTCGTCGTTTTCCGATTTAGCCAAAGGGGCCTCTGCACGGAGCTCAGCCATTTTTGCCGCAGCCTTCATTTGTTTACGCCCAGCCGTGTCCTCTGTGCAATGCGTTGGCGCTCGGCAGATGTCGCTAGTGCAGCGCAGGGAAGGGCAGAGAGCTCGGCGACCGAGGTGCGGCGTGCGCAGGGTCCGGCGCCTGCGCTGCTCGCCGGCAGCCGTCACAGCTCGATAATCAATACCGGCCCTCCTGCATTTGCACTTTGCTGAGGGCCTTGGGCCGCCATGCAATCCAAATGAAAACTGCTTGTAGCTGCCTTTGCTCTGCACCTAGGTAGGTACTAGGCAGTAGTGTTAGTGTAGCGTAGCTAATAGCTATAAAGCCTTTCGATGGGAGGGCCGAGTGGATCCCCACGGACGCATAAATAAACTGAGCCCGCAACCACCTCCATTCAGGTGAAGCCGACATGGCGCCATTTTACGTTGCCAAAAACCCGTGCTCTGAAAGGTCATCGAGCCAATACAATTAGAACTGCGTCTAAACGGATGATCGGATCGAGATGCTGGTGGTACCGCTCGACGGGTAATGCCCTGAGGCAGGCGATGATGGATGTCACATGTCACCCGGTGTCACATGGCGCGTGCCACGTGCCGACAAATTTACAAAGGGCAAAACCCTTTAAGCGACGCTTCAAATCAAACGAAGGGCGGCACAGATGCCAAACTCACAGACAGACCTCACATGTCCCAGTGTTCGACCACTAACATATGGTATGCTCGGCATCAGGGGGTGCGGAATGCACGCGCTAGTGGCGAAAAACATGTTTTAACCCGCGCGGGGCTGGGGTCTCCAGCCGAACGCGCGGGGCTGGGGGGGGGGTAAATTTTACCCCCCCTGTTATCTCCCGAACTGATGGTCCGATTTGGAAAATTCAAACGCCAATCGAAAGCACTCATCACGAACTACTAAAAACATGTACTTAATTTAAAGTTTGAGGTCAAGGTCAGGTCAGGTCAAGGGTACAAATTGCAAGTTTCTACAGTATCGGCCTTGCACCGTAGTTGCCGAGGAATGGAGTCATGGACTGAGACTGATCGCCCAAAACGTGTTCTTAGGCTACCAAGACAATATTCGTTGCATACAGTATCATTCAGAGGTCAAGGTCAAGGTCAGGTCAGGTCAGGTCAGGTCACCAAAAAACAAAATATAGAAAAGGGCATGTGCGACACATGTTTTATGGGTCATTTTACTCATAGAATTCAATAGGCACACTCAATAAGTGATATGGACCACCTCTGGATGAATTTCAGGTCGAGGTCAGGTCAAGGTTAGGTCAAGTGAGGTCAAATTTTGAAGTTGGTTGTTAAGGCCTAAAAAGGTGTCTATCTGATGCAGTTTTTCACGGCGAATCGAATGGTGCTATTTTTGTTTCCGTACGAGGTCTAGAACTTCCAAAAAAGTCATTTTTCAAAAAAATTTTGTGTCGTGACGTCATAAAATTTTGAATAACTCCCACATTTTTGAACCGATTCTTCTAAAATTTGGTATGTAGATGCACATAGACCACTTCTCTGACATATATTCCGGTTTTTTTGATAGACTCAAAATTTTGGATTTTATAATGATTTTCCCAAAAAAGTCAGTTTTTTTGAAAAATTTAGGCCAAAATCCAAAATTTTCAAAAAACCGAGATAGCCATTTGATAGACAAAGTAAAATTACGTATAACCTTTTTTGTTACGTCTTGATTCCTTTAAAAATGAAGATGTTAGCGGCGTTTGAACTTTTGCCGTTTTTGAGGCGAAAATGACGAACATGACGTCACTAAAACGTCAATTTCTCAAAAATTTTCCGACGGATTTCGCTCAAATTTTCAGGGAACGTGTCAAATTGATGTAAGAAAAGGTACTGAAAGTTTGGCGGCGCTGCGCGCCGCCGTTTTTGAGATATCGCAAAAATTCGCGAGGGGGGGTAAAATTTACCCCCCCCAGCCCCGCGCGGGTTAACCCGCGCCCGGCTGGGGGTCCTGGATTTCCACGCCCTGCTGGAGGGGGGGGGGGTGTTTGAACACCCCCCTTGTAACTCGGACCTTAAAATTGAGTATCATCGGCTTCCCCTCGTGACGGACAACACGCTCGTTCTTTCCGCGAAGCTCTAGCTCGAACAGGGGCCCAACGGCCAGGGGGAAGTTCAACGGACCCCCCTTGTTGGACCCCCCCCCCCCCCCTTAGGTATACGTTCGCGGCTGGAAAAGCACCAATACGGGCGAGGGTAACATGCGCACGTAGCCGCGCACGGCCGGTCCCCTCACTGACTTCGCCTGGCTACGGCCTGCCACCAACCGCAACCATGCCTGTCAGGAGGCCCATAAACGTCAAGCGCCCGTCGCGCTTCGAACCCGGACTGTTATAACCGGGAACGCGTCCTCTCACCACGCGTAGTCCAACGCTCTACCAACTGAGCTACGGGAACGGCGTTAAGTTTGAGTTTGAGTCATTGCTGATTTTTTTTTGCAAAACTAAAAATATCGGCATGCTACCGGCAATAAATGCCAAATACCACGAAAAACCTGCGGTAGTGAATAATTACCGGCATGCCGGTAGTGCGGTAGGGAAATTTTGCAACTCTTGTCTACCTATGAGACCCTTACCATGACCAATAGGAGCATTCAGAAGACATTACGCCCCTTGCCACTAGAAGCATTTATGTTGCATGCTTGGCGGTTTTAAATATTACCTACATACCTATGTACTGCCTGTATTTAACCCTATTCCGGGTGGGCTCTCAAAGGTTCGATTCTGGGCGGGGGGCCTTTTCGGCCCCCCTTCAGATCTTAAAAAACAACACATCGGAGTGACAAACGGCAAACGGCGTTTGATAGGTCGTTTAACCCGCGCCCGGCTGGGGGTCCTGGATTTCCACGCCCTGCTGGGGGGGGGTGTTTGAACACCCCCCCTTCTAACTCGGCTCCTGGGCCACGTAGCGATACGCGGAAGGCGGCGTTCGAAAGAGCGTCAAAAATAATGAGGAAATCACTTCGGTCAATTTTTTGGTCAGGTCAAAGGTCAGGTCACCAGAGGTCATTGAAGGCAAATTTTCGCCGATTTCCAGGTCGAATGTCGAAAATTTCCAAGAAGCCAACGCATAACTCGGGAACCAATAGAGCTACAGCGCCGCGGAAAAGCGCATTCGATAGCCCTATTAACGCCCTTTCTGAGTAATTTTCTCAGATTTGACCTAACGTCAACGGTTTTGCCTGCAGGGGGCAAAAACTGCAAAAATAGCCGATTTTTTCGGAAACAGTTTTTCTGCAATAACTTTTGACCCAAGCATTGTACGAGCTTACTTTTACCGGCATCGTGTTCCTCTCGTCAAGACGCATCGAACGAACTATAATTTGACCTTGAAAGGTCAATTTGAAAATTTGACCTCAGGTCAAGGTCATGACCTGACCGGAAAGGGTCATGTTGCATATCAGTCGATCCGTATCGTCGAGCTGAACACATCTAAGGCGTTTTCATCGCTCTAGCATGCCTCTATCAAAAGTTATTTGCGAAAAACTGTTAGATACCATTCGTGACCTAAGATGACCTCAGGGCATTACCAGGGGTCACAGACACCATTTTCATGTTCAGTGTGTCTAAACCACTTGTAATTCAGTGTTTGGGAGTGTTTATAATGTCTTTCGTCCAAAACAGGCGCATTTCAATTTTCTCCCATTGACTTATAATGGTGAGGTCGCAAAATTGACCTGACCTTAGGTCATCGATATCAAAATTCTGAGATATACATTTTGTACATGCTAATGCTCTTAGCAATCGCTGAAAGTTTCAAAGCGATCGGTCACTCGGTGTAGCTATGACAGACATTGAAACTTTTTATGAGGTGAGGTCACTTCGAGTGACCTGGTGACCTGACCTTGAATGACCTTGGTCTGAAATTTTCACAACATGTGTAGAATTGATGTATGATAAGGTGTACCAAAAACGGCGGCGCTCCGCGCCGCCGTTTTTGAGATATTCGCGAAAAACCACAGGGGGGGGTGTTCAAACACCCCCCCCCCCCAGCAGGGCGCGGGTTAACCCTATTCCTGGCGGGCTCCGCCGGGACAAGAAACTGGCGGGGGGGGCCGATTCGGCCCCCCCCCTGAGATCTCGAGAACGAAGCAAGATAGCGACAAGCGGTAAACGGCATCGGATACGCACGGCCAAGATCTACAATTTTTACAAAGGTCATTTTCAGGTCAGGTCAAAGATGACGTCACAGGGGTCGAAAAAGTCAAAATGGCGACGCTAGATATGGAGAGAGTTTTTCTCGAATAACTTTCGAATTAGTCAAGATAGGAACAAACTAAGGGCATCATCGTGATCCTCTCGTCAATCCGCATCGAATGATATATATGTTGACCTCGAAAGGTCAAGGTCAAAGGTTGACCTCAGGTCACGTGACCTCGAGGTCATCATGTATATCATTCGATGCGTCTTGACGAGCTGAACACAATGAGACCATCCACGTGTCTGTATCTTGTTCCTGTACGGAGTTATTGGCCAAAATCTTTTGGTGACCTTTGATGACGTCACATGACCTCACAGCTGCCCAACAGCAAAACAGACCTCAAGGTAGTGAAGGTTGATCGTATATGAAGTCATGTATGGTATATGGGGCCATTCCGACCCGTTTTAGTGGTAAAAACAGGGAGTTGATTTTTCCCCCATTGACTTATAATGGGGAGGTCGCGAAACTGACCTGACCTTAGGTCACCGATATCAAAACTCCGAGATATACAAATTGCACATACTGGTACCCTAACTAAAGCCTGAAGAGAAGAAATTGATCGGTCAAAAACTCTAGCTCTGGCGTGATTGCAAACTTTTCTGAGGTAGGGTCACCAAACCGCCTCTGGTGACCTGACCTCAGGTCAGATCAACTCAAAATTTTCAGACATGTTGCGTAGAAGCCTTTTAGGAAAAGTCAGAAAATTTGAGCTTCCTAGCTCAACGCGTTTGGGAGAAATAACCAAAAAACCTCAGGGGGGGGGGGGGCTCCTGAGGCTCCCCCCGCCAGGAATAGGGTTAAAGATCTACAACTTTTACGTAAAACATTTTCGGTTCAGGTCAATATTGAGGTCAGCAGAGGTCATCAACGATAAAATGTTTTGGAATTAGTTACTTTTGTTGCTCTCGTCGAGGCGATGCGAAAGAAGTACGAGTATGCGGTGACCTTCACAGGTCAACTTGAAAGTTGACCTGAGGTCAAGGTCAGGTCATTCACCAATGAGGTTGTGGGCTATGGTCATGCTGCATACCAAACGACGCGCCTTGACCAGGCGAGCAGTTTGGTACCGCTTACAAGTCTTTAGCACCATCATGTCGTGATTTATTGACAGAAAACGATTTATGACGTCACATGACCTCAGATGACCTTTCCCGGTGCCCCTGTCAATA